TCTCTGCCACTAGGTCTCTCCCGATATGGAAAATGCCTCCCGAGCACCACTGCTTTCCTTACCGCACGTGCCAGCTGATCTGGCCTGCAAGATGCCAGCTGCCACTGGGCCAGGTATGGCAATTCCTCACTGCTTCCAAACCATCTCTCCCTCCCCCTGCCACTCAGTCCGATTCCTCAACTTTGCATTTGATGTTCAGGGCTCCTAGATTATCATATATTATTGATTCACTTGTTTTTTCCGAGTCTTTGTTGTAAGAGGGACCACAGGAAGCATCTGACTACTCCACCATCTTGGCCCCGCCTCCCCCTAGCATTTTATGTTTTTGTTGTTGTTAGCTGCCATTGAGTCAATTCCCTGGCGTAAAGTTAAGCACTAGACTAAAACCGAAAGGTTGGTGGTTCAAACCCACCTAGAGATGTGTCACGGTTTGAATTATGTCCCCCGAAAAATGTATCAATTTGGCTGGGCCATGATTCCCAGAATTGTGCGGTTGGCCTCCATTTTGTGATTGTAATTTTATGTTAAAGAGGATTAGGGTGGGATTGTAACAACACCCTTACCCAGGTCTTATCTGTGATCCAATGTAAAGGGAGTTTCCCTGGAGTGTGGCATGCACCATCTTTTCTCTCTCAAGCGATAAAAGGAAAGAGAAGCAAGCAGAGAGTGGGGGACCTCATACCACCAAGAAAGCAGTGCCAGGAGCAGAGCGTGTCCTTTGGACCTGGGGTCCCTGAGCAGAGAAGCTCCTAGTCCGGTGGAACACATTGATGAGAAGCCCAACAGAGACAGAAAGCCTTCCCCTGGAGCTGATGCCCTGAATTTGGACTTTTAGCCTACTTACTGTAAGGAAATAAACATGTCTTTGTTAAAACCATCCACTTGTGCTATCTCTGTTATTGCAGCACTTGATAACCAAGACAAGATGCCTTGAAAGACGCACCTGGTGATCTGCTCTGAAATGTCACAGCCTTGAAAACCCTATGCACTAGTTCTACTCTGCACATACGGGGTCACCATATTGTCAGTTGCCTTCAAGTTGGCTCCAACTTATGGCAAGTCCACATGTAACAGAATGAAATGCTGCCCAGTCCTGCACCATCTGCATGATTGTTGATATGCTCAAGTCCATTGTTGCAGCCACTGTGTGAATCCATCTTATTGAGGGTTTCTCTTGCCTTTCCTGGTCCTTACTTTACCAAACATGATGTCCTTCTCCAGTGGTTGGTCCCTCCTGATGATCTATGTACACAAAGTAAGCAAGCTGAAGTCTCAGACAACATTCTGTGATCCACAGAGTTTTCACTGGCTAATCTTCTAAAGTAGATCACCAGGCCTTTCTTCCTCATCTGTCTTAGTCTGCAAGTTCCACTGAAACCTGTCCACCATGGGTGACTGCTGATATTTGAAATACTGATGTCATAGCTTCCAGCATCACCGCAACATGCAAGCCACTACAGTACAACAAACTGACAGATATGTGGTGGATTTTCTTTAAGGGAAGATTTAAAACTGCAATCTCAATGTCTTAAAGCGTTATAGCTCTATTTAGATTTTCTAATTCTTCTGGAGTCAGTTTGGCATATAATAATCACTTAATAAAGAATACAAGACCAGTTCAAATAGATTTTTTGGTTAGAGTTTCATGGACCATGTAGACCTGTATGAAGATTGGCCAGTGCTTATGAATTCTTAAGGATGTCCTGGTGGCGCAGGGGTTAAGTGCTGGGCTGCACCGAAAGGTTGGTGGTTTGAACCTACCAGCTACTCCACAGAAGATGTGGCAGTCTGCGTCTGTAAAGATTACAGCCTTGGTAATATCATGGAGTAGTTCTACTCATAGGGTTGCTATGAGCCAAAATTGATTCAATGGCAATGTTTTCTTTTTTTTTCCTTATAGTTATGGGGTTTATTAGGGAAGTAAGTGGTCACAATTCAGGATCAGAGACAACTCAAGATACAGTGATTCGATCAGGGAAGACACTTCTCAGCCATACCCGCAGACATGCCTCTCTCAGCCCCGTGGTCCAGCCTCTGCCCTGCTCGGGTAAGTATTACAAAGTTCTTTAGCTCCACTGATAAGTGTCCAGAGGCACCCAACTCTGGCAGTAGCCATGGCCCAAAGGCACTCAGCTCTCCCGCTCTGTGCATCAGTAAGGCTAGCTCTGTGGACAAGTGCCCGGAGGCACCCTACTCCAGATGGCAAGGAGTGTTTGGTATGAATTCTTAGAGGACTTTTCTTCATCCCTCCAGAGCCAGAGATGGAGGAAGATAAACTTTCTAATCATCTTGTTTCCTATAGTGGTACAGATTTTTTCAAAAAAATAGTTGGCCCTACTTGGTGAACGTAATTAATGTCACTGAATTGTACACGTAAACAGTGTTGAAATGGCAAAAAAAAAAAAAAAAAAAGTTGGCCCTTTCATTAAGGTGGTGGACTTTCAGAGATCTTGGCTTTATGAGAAGGTCTCTCTTCCAATTCCTCACCTTGTACAAGCCCAGGTCTTATCTCCTAACTATCCCTTGAACATCACATTTAAAGCCCAAGGCTCTACGTTTCTAGGAATCAGCAATCACCTCTAGAACAGCTTCCAGCTTCAATATCCACTTAGCACTCTATAGATTGATGGTCCCACATTATTTTTAGTTTCTGAAGATTTTCTTAAGAACTCAACAGTATAAGAGATGTTTTTAATTTTGCATTCAGATGATTAGATTTTTGTAGGTGACCTGTTTTCAGGACACCTAGTCTGCCATAAAGCCTGAAAGAGAAGTGCCCAGTCCATCTTTAGACTAAAAAATGATTTGGGAGAAGTTTTGAGATTCCTCAAGATTAAAGGAGGAGCCCTGGCTGCACAGTGGTTAAGCACTCGGCTGCTAATCGAGAGGTTGGTAGTTTGAATCTACCAGCTGCTCCGTGGGAAAAAGATGTAGCAGTCTGCTTCCGTAAAGACTGACAGCCTTGGAAACCCTATGGGGCAGTTCTATTCTGTCCTATAGGGTTACTACAAGTTGGAATCGACTTGAAGACACACGACATTAACAACAAGATTGAAGGATTGAATGCTCATAGAATACGGCTTTCCAGTGGTGGCCTTCTAATACACCATTGTCCAATAGAACTTTCTGTGATGATGGACATGTTCTACATCTGCACTGTGGCTACTGAGCACTGAGATGTGGCTAGTGCAACTGAAGAGAATTTATTTAATTTTAACTTAAATAGCCACACGTGGCTAGCGGCTAATGTACTGGACAGCACAGAGCCTTCTAATGCTTCCAAACAAAACCATCATCTTCAACAGATAAACACTTCGGAAGCCAAGCTAAGATCTACAGTGCCTGCCTTAAAGATTCTCTGCACTCCGGTATTTTAATAGGACTTCTGGTAGCTGAGGCTTCCTATGAGCTCAGTCTTTCCTTCAGCGAGACCTTCTCATAAGTAGAGTTCTAACCTCATGCATATTTTAATCAGGTTTATACCCAAGGTGATGAATTTGCCAACAATGTATACATTTCTCTACCATGTCATTTCATACCTCTTTCTCCCTCTTGCTCTCTATATTCTAGCCACACTAGTCATTCCTGTTCCTAAAACACGTTAAGTTCACTTCTGCTTCAGGGTCTTCAGCATCTCATATTTACTCTGCCTGCAATACACTTCCCTGGTGTTTTCTCTTCGTTGCATCTCATATTTACTCTGCCTGCAATACACCTCCCTGGTGTTTTCTCATCGTTCAAGTCTTAGCTTAAATGTCACCACCTGGGCAGGCCATCTCTGACCCCTTATCTAAAGTGCTCCCTACTGCGAGGCTCTATCACATTATCCTGTTTTGTTCTATTCATAGCATTTAATCATTATCTATAATTTTCTTATTTGTTTACCTCACCCCACTGCAACTTGAATATGAATTCTGTGAAAATGGAGACCTCCCTTGTCCTGTTCAGACAGGACTGATAGTGCCCGGCATGTGGAAAACAGAGGCCCCGTGAGGGGAAGTGACGTCACCAAAGCTGCACAGCCAGTCAGTGTACAACACCAAGGGAAAATGGACTAGCCAGAAATAACAGGCACAAAAGAAACTTACAATGGCAGAAATTACACGTAAAAGTTTTCTATGGAGGGGGGAAGTCCTCACAGATGAATCATATTCATGCAGCACATCACACTCCTGGGCAGCATAGTGGACGCATCTGTAAAGTGGATGAAGAGAAGACAGAGGTCCTTGGTCCAGAAGAAAAAAAGCCGGCGTTGTAAATAGTGTCTGGTCCTGTCCACTTACCCTTCTCTGGCTCTAGAGTGCCAAAAACTACTGAATCTATAAAGAAAGAAATTGATTATGACAGAAATGTGTGTAAAATACAAACAAAAATGGAAGAAAAATAGAAATGGTTAAAGTGTTCCATATAAAAAAAATCAACCAAGAAATAAAATTGGCTCGATAGCTTTGTTTCAGAAATATTCCTTTCACAATAACTAATCAATTTTGGTGTAATTCTGATTAAAACATCAGTACAGCACTGGAGGAAACCCTGGTGGCATAGTGGTTAAGGGCTATGGCTTCTAACCAAAAGGTCTGCAGTTCAAATCCACCAGGTGCTCCTTGGACGCCCTGTGGGGCAGTTCTACTCTGTCCTATAGGGTCCATATGAGTTGGAATCGACTGGACGGCAACAGGTTTGATTTTTGTGGTTATGGCGCTGGATGCAACGGAGCCCTGGTGGCACAGTGGTTACTGCTCCCATAAAGATTACAGCCTATGAAACTCTATAGGGCAGTTCTACCCCGTCCTACTAGGTCGCTATGAATCTATAAATCCACTAGAAGGCACAGAACAACATGGCGCTGCAAACGGTTAACTGCTTGGCTGCTAACCTAAAGGCTGGAGGAGTCCGCCTTTCTGGAGGTGCCTCAGAAAAAAGGTCTGGCAATCTACTTCCAAGAAAACCGGCCATTGAAAACCCTACGGAGCACAGTTCTACTCCGAGACACACGGGGGCGCCATGAGTCAGAAGGCACTCGATGGCAACTGGTTTGTACGCAAACATGGTGCCTTCCAGCTCCCGCGCCCGGGGCGGCTGGGGGTGCCCTCCTGGGAAGGGAGAGGCGGCGGCGGCATCTCTAAGCCGTCAGCTCACGGACTCGCTGCCTTCCTGCGCCTCCTCTCCCCTCAGCACCGACCTCCGGGTCGGGCGGGCCAGCACCTGTCATTCCAGTCAGCTCACTGGGCTCAGATACCCCACGGAGCCCCCCAGGACGCCCGGGTTCCGACCCGTGCCCGCCGGGAGCTGGGGTCGCGGCCCCGCACGCCCACCGCCTGAGGAGGCGGCCCGGGGCGGCGCCGGAGGGACGGGGCGGCGCTCGCGTCTGCGCAGGCGCACATCGGCTTCCGGCAGCATGGCGGACACACCGGCTCAACCCACCAAGAGAAAGCGCGAACCGGACGCGGAGGGGGCGGAAGGCCCCGGCCCAGGAGAAAAGGAAGCGGCCGTTGGAAATGGCACCTCTGCTCCTGTGAGCTTACCCTTCTCCGGCTTTACAGTGCAAAAAGTGCTGAGGGAGTCTGCGCGGGACAAAATCATTTTCCTCCATGGGAAGGTACCATTGGGCACTCCTGGGCTGGGGACGGAGTGGACCAATCATCTTCTCCGAGGCGGTTTTTTTTTTTTTTAAAAACCGGATCGCGGCTGGAAACTACCAATCGCGCTGACCGGGGGAGGCGGAGCGCACCACTAGAATACTGGGGAGGGGGGGATACAGGACGATTATCCGTGCAAATAAGGGAATTAATACACCTAGATCTAATTTGTATAAATCCTCCTTCACTAAAAATAACAACTAACGCTTGTAGGATATATAACCTAGAAAGGTCCTAGGCATCTTGGTCAACTGGTGTAACAAAGCTTATTAAGATAATGTTCTGCATCCTACTTTGGTGAGAGGCGGCTGGGGTCTCAAAAGCTTGCCAGCGGCCATATGAGATGCATCGACTGGTCCCAACCACCTGGAGTAAAGGAGAATGAGGAACACCAAAGACACAAGGAAAGACAGAAAGGGCCACGTAGACCAGAGACTCCATCAGCCTGAGACCGGAAGAACTAGGTGGTGCCCGGCTACCACCAATGAACGTCCTGACAGGGAACACAACAGAGAGTCCCTGATGGAGCAAGAGAAAGGTGGGGTGCAGAACTCAAATTCTAGTAAGAAGACCAGACTTAATGGTTTGACTGAGACTGGAGGAACCCCAGAAAGCATGGCCCCTGGATTCTCTGTCAGCCCAGAACTGAAACAGTTTCCGAGGCCTACTCTTTAGACAGGGATTGGATTGGACTGTGGGACATAAAGTGATACTCAGGAGTGTGCCTCTTAGCTCAAGTAGATACAAGAGACCAAAGGGGCAGCTTCTGTCCAGAGGTGAGATGAGAAGGCAGAGAGGGTTAGGAGCTGGTTGAATGGACATGGGGAATCGGGGGTGGAAAGGAGGAGTGTGCTGTCACAGTATGGGGAGAGCAATTAGAGTTACATAACAATGTATGTATAAATTTTTGTATGGGAAAAAATTTTTTAAAAAAACAAAGATTGAGAGAAATAAAATAAAGGTTCTAGGAACCTAGCAAATGCCGCTGGACCGTGTTGCTCATCCCTGTCCCTGGACCAACATAGAAACTAGAAGATCCCTGCTTTTCAGGACTTCAGCCTTAACAGAGGAGCCAGTTTATTAAGTTGGTAATTCCACGAGGCAGTCGTGGTTCAGTGGTAGAATCCTCCTCACCTTCCTTGCAGGAGACCTGGGTTTGATTCCTAGCCAATGCGCCATATGTGGAGGTTTGAGTGTTGCTGGGATGCTGAACAGGTTTCAGTAGAGCTTCCAGACTAAGAAAGACTAGGAAGAAAGGCCTGACGATCTACTTCTGGAAATCAGTTAAGGAAAATCCTGTGACTCATGACAGTCTCTTAAACAACCAATCATGGGATGGTCATGGGGATGGCGCAGGACCAGGCAGTGTTTGGTGTCGTTGTGTGTGGGGTTGCCATGAGTTGGGGGTCAACTTGAGGGCAGCTAACAACTGTCAGTTCCATGTCTTGTGCACTGAGAGACCAGGCACTGAGTTTGGTGCTGGGCATGTGCAGATGAAGAGTTAGCATCTCTGTTGTGCAGGAGTGCAGTGTCTGTGGGGAGACTAGTCTCTTCTTAGGCTCAATTGCAGCAGGCTCTAGTACCATGTACTCAGCTCTGCGGCAGGGGCTGAGGAGAGACTGGAGTCCATCCTGGGAGTCGGTGACAGTGAGGAGGGCAGGTAGCAGGGTTCCCCAGAACTCTTAGTACGAGCTGTCACCTTTGAGAGTGGGCCCTGGGCCGAGGCTTCCATGCCTCTCCCTGTATCACTTTTATAAGGTTCTGTCTGGTTCTCTCAGCCCCACCTGTCTTCAGTCTGCAGCAGCTGCTGAACATCTGAGACTTGAGAGCCTTCAAGCTAGGAGTCGGTCGGGAAACCCAGATTCTAGCTTCTGTTTCAGCACTGGTCGTGTGACCTTTGGCAAGTCAGGCTTTCTCTGTAGTGCTCAGCTTCTTTATCTGTAAAATGGAGAGAATTTGACAGAGGCCTTTTAAGCCTAGAATAAGAAGACAGCTGAGAAGCTTTGCCTCTCAGAAAGGGTGTGAGAGCTGCTGCAGGGATTTGGTTTATGAGATGGCTTTTCTGGGAGAAGGAACAGGCATGCTGTTGGGAAAACTGCAGGGAAGGAAGTCTCAAGGGATGGGATTTCACAGGCCCTGGGAAGCTTTTGTTGTTGTGCTTTAGGGGAAAGTGTACATAGCTAATTAGTTTCTCATTAAACAGTTAATACACAAATTGTTTTGTGACGTTGGTTGCCAACCCCTCAATGTGTCAACACTCCTCCCTTCTCCACCCCAGGTTCCCTGTTTCCATTCATCCCGTTTTCCTGCCCCTTCCTCCCTTCTTGTCTTTGCATTTTGTTTGGGCTGGTGTGCACATTGAGTCTCGTATACATGATTGAACTACGAAGCACATTCGTTTTGGTGAGCCCTTTTGACCTGTCCAATCTTTGGCTGAAGGGTGAACCTCAGGAGTGACTTCAGTACTGAGTTAAAAGGGCGTTCAGGGGCCAGGCCCTGGGAACTCTGCTCTCCAGGCCTCAACTGTGTCTCTGCCCCTGCCACCACTGATGATATCTCTGCCCACAGGTGAATGAGGCCTCTGGGGATGGGGACGGAGAGGATGCCGTTGTGATCTTGGAGAAGACACCATTTCAGGTGGAGCAGGTGGCCCAGCTCCTGGCGGGCAGCCCTGAGCTCCAGCTCCAGTTCTCCAATGACATCTACAGCACCTATCATCTGTTCCCTCCAAGGCACCTGAGCGGTGAGCACGTGAGGGCAGAGGGGAGAGTGGGATGCTGGGACGTCAGGTGTGGTGACCAGGACGTTCCACATGACTGATTTGTCTATTCTAGTGCAATAGTTCTCAGTGGAAGGAGGGAGAAATTTTGCCTCCACCCCCAAGGGACATTCGGCAGTGTGCAGAGACATTTCTGGTTGTCAAACCTAGGAGTGCTACTGGCATCCAGTGGGTGGAGGCCAGGGATGCTCCTAAACATCTTACAATGCACAGAACAGCCCCCCACCACAAAAGATGTTGCCAGAATGTCAACAGTGCCGAGGTAGAGAAACCCCGTTGTGGTGTAGTATGTTTTGGGAAGAGGGTGTGATTCATGAGGTAGAAAGGTTTCATCCACTCATTGAGTAATAAGCGTTGTCAACACTGTTAAACCCTTACTGTTGCGCTAGCCAGCATTCTAAGTCTTTCATGTGTATTATCTAATCCTCAGAACAACCCTGTGTGATAGGACTTTACAGGTGAGAAAACTGAGGTTTTGAAAGGTTAAGTAAGTAGTCGCAGCTCACACAACCAGTAGGTGGCAGCAAAACTCTCCCAGCTCACACAACCAGTAGGTGGCAGCAAAACT